GATCTCCACTCCTTGATCTTCATTAGCAATCATCCATCCTTTTCAAAACACAAAAAAAAAAAAATATTTCAAAAAACACCAATACAAACAAATAAACGACGAACACACATCAAATTCTATCATTATTTGTAAGTCATTTGTTTTTTTGAAAAAAAAATATATATATATATAATGGTACGTCACTACAAAAAATAGTGTATTAGCGATGGAAATTGACAATGAAATTACTTTTTATCACTAATCCGTTGCTAATTCTATCACAAATATTAGCAACGAACTTTTCCTGTCACAAATGTTCCATCACAATTCCATCATAAAAAAATTTGCGACAAACATATTCATTGCAAACCTTGAGGAAAGCATATTCTTGTTTTGCCATAGATTTACTGATAGAATATTTTTATCACTAATTTTCATGGCCAATCTGTTTTTAAATTCCATCACTAATTTACTTCCCACAGAATATTCTATTGCAAATTCCGTTGGGAAGTTGTTCAGTCACTATTTCATCACTAATTTATTATTTTAATCATTTTAACATATACATTATCTTACAATTTAAAAAAATTCAAAAAATAGTTAATTATAATCTAACATATCTCTACTTGCATTTTGCATTCTTTGTTTCATAAAATACTATTTTTCGAACATGTATAATACATGTACTTTATACTTTATTATAGCACAATCACTATAATTAATTCAAGATAAAGATAATTCTCTATAACTTTCTTAACATAAAGCTTCTTGACATGTCTTGGATATTTCAAGATTATTTCATTGCTGATTTAATTTCTATTTGTCTAATATATGTCTTAATTATGAAACATTTCAATATATATCGAATTGATTTTAATGGTAATAGAAAAAATTGAAATTACAAAGCTGTGCTTATCTTGCTTGTAGCCAATTAATGATGAAATTAGTTATATATGTCTCAATAATATATTGTATTTATACTTTTATATTATAATTAATATTAATAATATTTTAGTATTTGATTATAGTAAAATTTTTAATGTAAATCAAATTTGATGTTAAGTTTTCATATGGTTATTGATTCAAAAAGTTTGTCATCTCACAGGGATGGGATTGCATGTGCTGATATGCTAGCTTGAAATGCTCACTACAGCTCCTTTTTAATATCCTGTCATGATGTTATTCTTTCTGATAAAGATTTGTTTCTTTGCACTGTTTAGTTTTATTTTGTAATCAAGCTTTTGCTTGCCTTTTTTAATTATAAAAAGTTTGTTATCAAGACCTTCATGCCTTTGGGATAGCATGCTTGAGAGCAATTATTTACTTTTTTTTAGCAATTTTTTTTGGGCCAATTGAGCCATTCTTTATTGGATTTACAATTTCATGGATAGTCCCGATCACTCTTGCTGGGTCACATCATCATTTTCACTAATAGGAGAAACTTCAAGCATCTAGAGAAAAAAAAATTAATCAATTACTTCACTCAAAATGTTTTTTAGTATTTGATTACCTTAATTATGTTTTGATTAAGAAGCAACTGTTGCAATGATATGTTGATTTTTTTCTCTATACTTGTCCATTTTTATTTTCTTTTGAATTGTAAGATTACTTTTATGCCTTTTAGCTAATATATTCATTTGATTTTCTTTTCAAAAAAGTTTTCATATGAGATATACATATATATATTATAAAGTTTAAATTTGTAACATTACAAATCAATTGTCTCATGGGTAGCCTATACCTATTTTTCTTGAGGGGTGTGTGCAGTTTTTAATTGTAGATATTTTTAAAAGTAATTATTTTGTAATTATAATATAGAGAAATTTAAAAATAAATAAAAATTCATAAAAAGTATTAAGCTTGCCCATTTGGCAGTGTAAAACATGTGACCTACAATTTACAAGTCAACATTTTAAGCCGTCGGGCTAAAACAATTTTATTTGTTAGTTCGGGTAACTTTTTTAATATAAATGTAAGCAAATAATTGCCCCAATGCAAAACCAATCTGATTTCCCTCCCATTTTCATTTCCCTCTCCCATTCTTGATTTATCATAACCCTATCTGATTTTATTTCACACTTTCACATCTCTTTTATCTACCTTTGCCTCCTAATCTTGTTCACTTTCTCTTCTTCGTCCTCAGGCTAAAACAATTTTTTTGTTAGTTTGGGTAACTTTTTTAATATAAATATAAGCAAATAATTGGCCCAAATGGAAAACCAATGCGATTTCCCTCCCATTTTCATTTCCCTCTCCCATTCTTGATTTATCATAACCCTATCTGATTTTATTTTCTCATAACCCTATCTGATTTTATTTTCACTCTCTCACATCTCTTTTGTCTACCTTTTCCTTCTAATCTTGTTCACTCTCTCTTCTTCTTCGTCCTCGCCGTGGCTTTCAATTCCACACATATAAATCCATCACCACCCACTTGCTTTTACCAGTCTTGCTTGCTTATTTTGGGTTGAAGAAGCAAAGCTATTTCCCAAGGAGAAGAAAAGGAAGAGGAAGAATGAGCTAATTTCTAAGAAAACTTAAGTGTGAGGATGCTATCTCTACCACTGCAACTTCTTCCTCTTCTTCTTTGAGTTTTTTTTAAAAAATATTTTTTATGAAGTTTTTGAGCTTGATCTAGTTTTGAGTGAGAATGTGGATTTTTTGTGAAGTTTTTAAGCTTGGTTTGGTACTAATGACATGCTGAAATATTAGATCCATGTCTATTGTTTAAGAAAAATAATAGAAGATGTGCAATTATTTGTCATATGGTACTAATATGATATATGGCATCTTTGACATGTATAGGATATGCATATAACAATTTTGAGGCTGAAATTATAGCACATCTAAAGCTTAATGCAATGTTGCTTTGATCGATCTATCCTTTGAATTATATAATGCTACTATGTAGTTGTACAAAAAAACATACATAAAAGCCAAGTCCTTACACATTACTTCTCTATATCATATCACATAGCTGTTTCTTAATTAAATCAAAGTGTGTCACAGGAATGAATTGTGGTCCATCTCTTAAGATGGACTTATCTTTTTATATCTATGTCTTTTTATTTTACTAATTATAACTTATTTTACAAAAAAAGAATGACTAGACTTTAGTCTATTTAATTTTATATACTTATGTAATATGCATATGAATTGTTTGAATAAGTGATGCATGAGAAACTGAGGAGGAAAGCATACCTTGAGTCGTTGATTTGCACGAACGTATATGGGAACAAAGCTACACCAGTCAAACTTCATTTGAATATACACTGCAAATGCACACTTTGAGAGAATAAGAAGCCAGGAAAATAGAAGCTGTTTTGTTCTTTCTTTCATGCAGAGGAAAAAAACCTCCAAGAATTGCACCCATAATCGATCTCTTTTGGGAACGTGCAGCAGTTGTTTCTTAACCATTCCTGACCCAAATTCAAAGGTTGGAGAAAATTGCATTTGGGGCCCTGAGTAAATTACATATTGAACCCAAACATTTCTCATAATTGTGATAAGAACCCCATGCCTCAATTTTGGCTTTTATATGAGCTTGATCCATCAAGGGTAGATAACCTAACATCTCCCACTCACACTTGGTGGAGAAGCTAATATCAGTCCTATCTTTTTCTCTTTCCTCTCTTTATACAAGGTGCTTTGCCATGACCACATAGGCTTGACGCCTTTGTTTTGGTTTGTACTAGTAAATTCTATTAAGGACCAACACAAATAACCTTAAAGTTGAATTTATTCTTAATTGAATTCATGTCTTAATGTCCTAGATTTACTGATATATACTTTTTCTCATTATGACTAATCTGATCTCTCTTAAGTCAATCCAAGACTTAGATAGTCTCTCTTATATGCATAGTATCCACACTTATGAATTTACAAATTATTTTATAAGGGACATATCTTGAATAGAAGCATAGACGTGTATATTTAAGATAATCTTTCTTTTGTCCATGTACTACTTTGATAGGAAACAGTCACTTTCCTAACATGGAACCTTTAGGTCACATCAATCATGACCATAAGGTGTATGTTAAATTAGCAGACACTGTAACATATCTCCATGATAATGTCAAAGTCAAAGGACATCATATAAATGATTTTTTCTTTTTAAGACTCACACAGCAATGAAGCAGGGATTTATTTACTTGCTTCCTATTACGATTCTTAAGCACATGTGGTATGAAATACATGTTATGGTGTTACTCTTACTTGTAAGAGTAGTTTTCATTTATTATTAACACCATACAAACTTAAGTTCAAATATTCACTGTACCTAAACCTAAATTCTTCTTTTCTATTGATCTCACATGACATTAATTTAGAAGAATTTGTTGTTTGGCTACAAGTATCATGGATATAGGGATCCATAACTCGATCCAAGTATGCTTACAGATCTTATCTCAACTTGCTTTTTGATCAAGGCGATATATGATTTGTGTTTCTTCTCTACCATATCAATATATTTGTTCCCTTGCTGGTGAACGCAAATGTCTCATCTTTGATTTGAATATCAAAGGCAGTTGCTCGTATGTGAGAGTCAACCTTATCAACTTATATGACATATTGTACATTGTATATTCTCGATTGTACACATATGGAAGTAATGAAGAATCTCATTAATATAACCATATATTACATCAAGTCAATCTAGCCATGCCAAGAGCCCTTACATGTTTCTCAAATATCTACTTAGCTATGGATTTTGTTAGGGGATCTGCTATCATACATTTCATGAAAATGTATTGAACAATGGTAACCTTTTGTGCTATATAATCCCTTACAAAATTGTACTTAATGCGTTTATGTTTAGTTTTGCTATGATATTTAGCATCTTTGGTATAGGCTATGGCTGTAGTGTTGTCACAATGAATTAACACTAGATTTGTACTTTTATTTTTAAACCCAAGATGTTCTAAAAATATCTTAAGTCATATAGCCTCCTGCACTGCTGTAGTATATGCTACAAACTCAACTTCTATAGATTGTAGGGCAGTGCATGTCTGCTTTTTGCTACTCTAACAAATGGCCCCATTGTTTGGCAAGAAAGTATAGCCTAAAGTTGATCTTCGTTCATCTTTATCCCCGCCAAAATCCGCATTGGAGTATCCTGTCAGGCGTAAATTACTCCCTTGATAACATAGTCCATAGTCAATAATACACTTTAAGTATCTTAAGATCCTCTTTACAACCTTCCAATGTCCTTCTCTGAGGTTGGATTGGTAGTGACTCACAAGTCCTGCGGCATAACAGATATTTGGTCTTGTACACATCACTGCGTACATCAAACTTCCGACTGTACTGGCATATGAAACTCTTTCTATTTTCCTTTTGGCTATCTCAGTTTTAGGACCCATATCAGGACTAAGCTTCACTTCTAAAGCTATTAGAGTATCCATAGATTTACAGTCTTTCATACTAAAATGCTTAAGAATTTTCCTTATACAATTCTCTTGTGATAAAGAAAGAAGCTTCTTAGAGCGATTTCTTTAGATTTTAACTCTAAGAATGTATTCTGCTTCACCCATGTCTTTGATTTCAAAATTTGATGAAAGCCATTCTTTAATAGTGATTATCGAATCCAGACTATTTTCGACTAGTAAAATATCATTTATATAAAGAGATAATATTATAAAGTTCCCATTGAACCTCTTGATGTAAACACAGTGGTCTTTCTCAATTATTTGAAAGTCATATGAGGTTATTGCTCTGTGAAATCTCAAATACCATTGTTTGGATGATTGTTTTAGTCCATAAATTGATTTATTTAATTTACATACTTTATCTTCATTTCCTTTTTCAATAAAACCTAATAGTTGTTACATATAAATTTTTTCGTCCAGATCACCATTTATAAAAGCAGTTTTTATATCCATCTGGTGTAACTCTAAGTCCAAACTATTTACTATTGCCAGAATCAGTCTAATAGAATTGAAACGTACAACAGGAGAAAATGTATCCTCATAATCTATTCCCTCTTGTTGTGTATACCCTTGTGCTACTAAGCGAGCCTTGTATTTATCAATTGATCCATCTACTTTTCTTTTGATTTTGAGAACTCACTTATTCCCAATAGGCTTTCGGTCATGTGGTGAATCAACTAATTTTCATACTTGGTTAGTTCTCATGAAATTCATTTCTTCATCCATTGCTTTCTTTCACTTATCCTTAGTAGGTCTTGATAAAGCTTCATTTACAAAACATGGCTCATCATCATCTAGAGGAGTTATCATCAATACTTCACCCTTAATTTAGAAATGTCTTTTCGACACACTTTCTTTGTTACTTTTTTGAAGTGAAATCTCTTGTGGATTTTGATTCTTTTTGGGCCTTCTGGCAGACCTTTTAGAGCTCCCACTTAGATCAATATTTTGCAATGATTCAGGCCTATCTATTTGTTCTACATTATGTTGCTCCCGTGTCTCATAAAGAGATACAGTTTGATCAATTTCTCCCCTGCTAGGAAACTTATTTTCTAAAAATATGATATTCCTAGATTCAAATTTAGTTACAATTCCATCATCATTTTCACCAATGAAAACATAACCCTTTGATTGCTCAGAGTATCTTATAAATATATATTTCTTCCCTCTTGGACCTAATTTTCTATGTTTATGGGAATCATCATGGACATATACAGCTGACCCCCATAGTCTTAGGATATTTAAATTCGGTTTGTGTTTTGTCTATAACTCATAAGATGTGGAAGTAACTAATTTTGAGGGCACAAGATTAAGTATGAAGGCTGCAATCAGTAAAGCGTTCCCCCAATACAAGATTGAAAGATTTGCTTGTACCATTATTGACCTAACCATATCTAGAAGAGTCCTATTTCTTCTTTCAGCAACTCTATTCTGTTGTGGAGTGTCAGGAATAATTAGTTGTCTAATTATTTCTTTTTCTTCACAGAGTTCTTTAAATTGATCAGACAAGTATTCACATCCTCGATCAGTTCGTAATGCTTTAATTTTATTGTCCATTTAATTTTCAACCTTATTAATATATTGTCTAAAGCACTCAAGAGCTTCAGACTTTTGTGATATCAAATAGACATGATCAAAACATGAAAAATCATCGATAAAGGTAATAAAATATCAAGCTCTGTGTTTTGCCCTTATACTCATAGGACCATATATATCAGAATGGATTAATTGTAATGGATTTTTAGCCTTAACACCTTTATCAAAAAGGTTTTCTCATTACTTTACCAGCTAGACAATTCACATAAGGACATTTTCATATTTGTAATTGGACCTAGCATTCCTTCTTTAGCTAGCTTAGTCATTCTATTTTGATTAATATGCCATAGTCTAGCATGCCAGATATTCACATCAACATTATTGGAAGAGGTGGTAAAGCAATCATAAAAATAAACTTTGTCAACAATATCTATAATAAAGAACCTTTTAAAAGAAAAGCATAACCATAAAAATTAATTACAAACCCAAATTCTAAAAGGCAAGCAATTGAAATTAAGTTCCGTCGGATGTCTGGTGCATGTAAAACATCATGGAGAATTAAGGTTTTTCCATCTTGCAAGATTAACTTTTAAGTTCCTATGCCTTTTACCTTGATCCTCGCATTATTGCCAATGTAAAGCCATTTGCTTTGATTTGGCAACCAACAGTACTCTACGAAGGATCCACGATCCTTGCTTACATAGTCTGTAGAGCCTAAGTCTACAGTTCAAGAAGAGAAAATAGTTTCTATTAGAAAAACATTATTGAAAATATAAGAAAAATGAGAATTTAAAAAATTCACAAGTACCTAATCACGTTCACTTTACTCAGGACAACCCTTTGCAAAATGGCCCATCTTTTAATAGGTAAAATATTTGACCTTTTTAAGGTTAATTCTCTTTTTTCTGCTCTTTTTGCCCTTCTTGTTGAAAGATTGTTTGTCCTTTTTTATGTTAAGACCACTCTTGTTATTCTTCTTTTGTTGCTTGTTGCCCCTCTTGGCTTAGAATTGGAAGGACTACCTTCTTTGATAAGGTAAGCCTATCCAAATGACTTGTAAGCCTCTAGACATTTAGCCTCTAGTTTCAGATGCTTAGCCACATCATTAAAGTTAATGATGTTTTCATTGTGGGTTAGGTTAAATTTTATATTCTCCCAGTTGGTTGGAAGTGATCTGATTATAGCCTGTACTTGCTATTCATCACAAAGATTGTGCCTGGCTTTTTTAAGTTCACAAATCATGTTGGCTAGCTTTCTAAGGTGCTCCCGTATAAGAGTATTCGGCTTTGGTTTATAAGTGCTGAATTTAGTTGTAAGCCTTCTTAGTTTGGTGGTTGACGTACCACCAAACTTTTCTTTTAAGGCAACCCACATAGCTTGAACAGTGGAGTACTTCTCAAATTCACACATTAGATCATCCGCTATAGCACTTAGAAGTGTTATTCATGCAATGCTATTTTTTCATTTCCATGCCATAAATGCCTTTTGATTTCTCCTATGTTGAGCCAAGTTTCCCACCTCAAGCTTGGCCATGACCACAATCAGTGGCTCAACAGCATCTTATTCTTCTAAAATATATGACACCTTATGGTGCCAGATATCCCAGTTATCCCCGTTTAATTTGTTGCCCTTATTCAATTCAGTGATAATGCTTTTTGTTTCCGTTCTTAGTTTTGAGACGAAACTATCCCACATTAATAGTTTTCTATATTAAATCAAGAATACAATACTTATAAGAACCATACAATGTCTTATATTTGTATTATTCTTTATTAGAGTGATAACAACTTTATTAGGTTAACGATAAGGAGGTTACATTTGTATCTCCCATCATATTGACTCTAACAAAATCACTATCGTTTATAAAAAATTTTATAAATATTTTCATAATCATCATATATGGCTCTTAAATGACTTATCACTTCAGAGCTCCCACTCAAATAAAGTATATATATAAAGCAATAAAAAATAAAACAACATGCTTCATATATATCATAAATCATCAAGGTCTTAATACAACATAACTTACTTAAAAAAAATTCTTGGAAAAACAGAACAATGCTTAAGGTATAAACCTAAAAAGACAACTCTTAATTATGTCTTTATATTTTTCTTATACTTTCATCTCTTTGATGGCTCTATTCCATAAAGGATTTCTTGAGTATGACTTGTTTCGCTTGTTATGTTGCACAAGCTCCTTCCTAAGTTATTTGATACAACCACGGCTTGTTTTTCTTTTGTTATGAAGCTCGAATATGCTCTCACTATTAGAGAAATTTGATCTGGCTTTTTTGTTTTTTTAGCTTCTTTTTTTGCTATATTTATGATTACTAAGGGTGTGAAAGGTTGTTTGACATCTTCATTTTCATTTTGAACATTCTCATCACCCTCTGATTCATGTTTTGGTCTCGACAGCATGCGCACCTTTTTAGGTTCTTCTGGCACATTTTTAAGATCAACATTGAGATCCTCTTCAGGATCATAATTAGAATCCTCACTTTGAGGTTCATATTCCTCCTCCTTTTCAAAGGGTTCTGGGTCGAAATCCTCACTAAGAGGCTCATAATCTGGTTCATCCAGATACTCAATGCTAACAAAATAATTTTTTAAGTTATCAGTGTTGCTAGAAGCATCTTGCTTCATATTTGCCTAAAAAAATAAAAGAGAAAAAGTTTAGATTTTTTTCTTTTTAAACTCATAAAATGCACTAGATAACTCAAAAAATAAATTCTTGTTTTGTCTCTAAAACATGCAAATTATATATCAAAATAAAGATCTCAAATTTAAAAATTTTTTTTAACTCAATTTGGTTCCACACGCACTGACACGTGCCCCAAGAATGATTCTAGATTAAGAAATTCTTAAAAAACAAAAAAGAAAATATTCCACTCTTAGGGAGGCTTGTGTCGTACACGCGTCGAACCGTTGTGCTCCACGAGCCAATAGCTTTAGGGTAGGGTTAACCATGCATCGATGGAGTCTCTTGATGGGTCCCACACGCCACATGTTCAAATCCTTTTTTTATATTTTTTTTAAAATTTGAATTAAATAATTTTTTTATTTACTTTTTTTTTGAATCCGGGTTGAGTTTTATGTACCTGACCCGTGAACCCATAAGAAAAAAAAAATTTTTATTGGGCTTGGAGGCCCAAGACTATTTTTTTATAGGGTTTCTGGGCTTATAGCTCAAAAGCAACCCCTTTTCCTTTTTTTTTTGGGATGACACATCAAAACGATATGTTGTTTTGACGAGGACAGAAATGACATGTCATTTATGTCATCGTCCACATCTAACCGGGTCAAGTTGACCTAGTTCCTCTGGCAGGTAGGGTCCGTCAGACTCGAAACTTTCGGAGGCCGTATCTCCTCCGTCCGGTCTCTATTTTATACGTTATTGGTGTTGTTTTCTTCATTTTTTTGAGATCTACACGTTTATGTAA